CGAAAACAAACCTTGTGTCTTTGTCTTTCTGCCTCCCTTCGGTGTCTCAAGTAGCAACTTGAGTCTCTGCTGTCCTGTCTACCTGGCTGTGTGGTCACTACAGGACACAGCACAGAACAGACCCAGACCTGCCCCCCTCGGAGAGAGGCTTGTAAGAGAGAGGCCGCCCTGACCGGGCGCTTCCTGGGTTCATGGCCACATGGGGTGTGGGAGTGGCGAGCAGGTGGCTCAGGCACTCCTGAGCTGGTCCAGGAGCCCCTGGAGCTGCTGGAGCACACAGGGAAGAGGAGGAGAAGGAGGAGGAGGAGCAGCAGGCCTCCTGGAGGCAGGCAGCAAAGGTCCTGCCTCCCACCCTTTGTGCTCAGAAGCCCCATGCTGCTGGCTGTCACCTTCTCCTGGATGCCGGCCAGGGCCGTGTGGCTAGTGATGTCGTCCGGAGGAATGCTTTAAGGTCCCCGGCTGCCCGCTGCCTGTGCTGCCGCCTTCTGGTCCGGAGCCTTGGATCAGTTTAGCTCTTGGCCGGGCCGGGATAGAGACAACCAAGTCCATGGTCATGGCCCCGTAGGGAAGTCACTCAGCTGTTTCTTCAGAACTGGGGCAGTGCCTTTGCCTTCTAGGCTTCACATGAGATTAGTGCGTGGCCTTGGCCAGCAAAGCTTCCCGAATCTCCTTCTGCCTGCTGAGACCTGGGCTCCCACTCTGGTGCTCTTCTTGCCAGAACCCTATCCCTCCCAGCGTAGTTCCCCTGGTTCGTCAGCCAAGGTAAGACCCAAGGCCCGGCTGAGGCACCTGCTGACAGATGCTCATGGCCTGGGGGCTGCCACCTGCTGCCTCCAGCCTGGCCCCAACGGCCTTGGGGCTCGTGGTCCTGTAGCACCTGCAGCATCAGCCAGGTGATCCTGGCTTTACGTGCAAACCTGCCTCCGTCCTGTCCGGGAGGCAGTCGCCTTGGGAATTGTCATCGGAGGGACGGCCGGTGGAGGGAGCTGGTGACTAGCGGCCTGGGGCAGACGAGGCCTGGGGTAGGCGAGCTGTCGGCTGGCATCTGCGGGGCCGTCAGGCGGAAGAGGGAGCAGCCAGAGGAGGGCTCTGGGGGCTGTGCCGCCGGCTCGCTGCGAGCTGTGCGAGCTGAGCTGCCAGGAGGCGGCGGCTTTCCCGACGCTGCGCTGACTCAGCCACGGACCCCCAGCTGCAGCCTCAGCTTCGGTGTGTATGTGGGAGTGGGTGCCGTGGTCCTGGGTGTGTGGAAGGACCTATGCCTTCTCTGTGTGTAATTGTGTGTGTGCGCCTGTGTCTGCATTGTGTGTGTGTGTGAGTGAGAGCTTAAGATGTTGGATGTGTATCTGATATCTGTGTTTGTGGCAGTGGATCCAGCCCCTCCCAGGGCCTGTTCCTTCCTGAGGTTTCCTGTCTGAAGGTTCAGCCTCTGACCCCATGATTCTGGGACACCTCTAAGTCCCTAGGGGTCTGAGAGCCCGGATCACCTCTTGGTGGGCGGTGACGCTCAGCTCTGCCCTCTAGGCAGCCATGTCATCGTGGGGCAGCTGTGGCCTCACGTTCTAGGCTGGCTATCTGAAGACCCCCAGTTGTGTGGTCAATGTGCTTGGTCTCTGAGGCTCTGAGTTTTGGGGGACTCTGAGGGACGTTCTGAGAGTTCTGGATGCTCATGTCGCCAGAGTGAATCACAGCTTAGTTTCCTAGCATTGACTAGTGTGCTTGTTGCCGGAGGTGTGACCAAGTTGCCGGCCAGTGTGAAACACGAGCTGCGGGCTGCCTGGTGATGCCCACGAGGCTCAACATTGGGATTCAGGAGTGGACTGACCTGAGCTGGGACCGAAGTTCTTCCCTGAAGCTGCTGGGTGACCTGTGGCACTTCTAGACTTCCCTGGGTTCTGGCCTCTGGCTCTCTGAAGTGAGGATGCGGGTGGTAGGGGAATCATGGGCCGTGGGGACACAGATCATGCCATGAAGCCCTTGGAGCTTTGCCTCATGATGGTGATGATAGTGATGATGATGGTAATGGGAATGGTGGTGATGATGGTGATGCTGGTGGTAATGGTGATGATAGTGGTGATGATGGTGATGTGATGGTGGTGATGGTGTTGGTGGTGGTAATGGTGATGGTGGTGGTGGTGATGGTGTTGGTGGTAGTGGCAATCATGTGATGATGATGATGTGGTGGTGGTAGTGGTGGTGGCAGAGGAAACGCTGGGCCAGCAGCCCCTGGCCGTGGCACAGCTGGCCCCATGCATACTTGGACAGTTGTCTTCATGGGTTCCAGGAGAGGATAGGCAGGTGCCTGTAGAAGCTTCACTTTGCAGAGAGAGGAGCTAGGGCTGCACTAGGCTGGGGGCACCCACAAGGGGGTGTGGTGTATTCTAGATGCTTCAGGCTCTGCTCCTGCTCACAGGGCCTGACCAGGAGTCCCTCCCCCACCACCCAGGGGTGAGAGGGATCATCAGGGTTAGGTCCAGGGAGCACACTCGGAGCCCTGGAGGCTGACTGTGACCCCACTGGTGCTGTCCCACAAAGCAAGCAGTCTCATTTCTGAGTTCCCATCTGTAGACAGGCCCAGCGGACCCAAGAACTTCCAGTCATGGGCACGCAGGTAGTTGGGCCACAGGCATGCAAGGGGGATTCTAGACTGGGCTTGGGGGGGGTGCTTTACGAGTGGAGGGTAGGCCAGAGGGAGGCAGCAGGGGCATTTGCTGGGCAGCAGGTCAGAGGTCCGAGGTTGCTGGGTAGTGGAGCTGCTGGTGGAGGGGAGAGGTGAGGACAGAGGACAGGAACATGGGGACAAGAGAGGCAGTTGCAAGTTGCTCTAAGGTGGGCAGAGCTGGGATGAAGCAACAGTTCTGTGTGTGGCCCCTGGGGCCTGGGTTGCTCTGTGTGGCTGTGGAACCAGCACAGGGCCAATCGCTTCTGACTGGTAGATCTACAGTCTACCCCTTCTCCCTGCTGCAGGGGCGGTCAGCTCTCCACTCTGGCTCCTCCCGCCCTCCCTGCTGTGGCCCTGTCCCTTCTCCGTTCCCCAGGCCTGACTCCTGCACCCCTCCTTTAGCTCCCACCCCGGTCCTGTGGCTTCTCCTGGACTTGCGTGGAGACTGTGACGCTCCCCAGCCTCACCCAGACTCAGTCATACTGTCTGTGTTTTTGTTTCCCAAATGCACCGAGCAGGTGCCGTTCTCCCAGCCTGCACAGGTGCTGTTCTTTGTACCGGAAGTCCCTCCCAGCAGGCAGCCTAGGCTGGTGCCTTCTGTTCTGGCTGTTTCTCACACCAGTGTCCCTTCCTTGAGGTGGGTTAGGAGAGTGGGTTAGTTCTCTTCACCCCTACCTCTCTCACTGACTTATTTATCTTCCAACACCTTTTTGTGTTTTATTTATTTTGCAAACACTTCTTGGGTGCTTGGTATGTTCCACACACTGTTCCCAGCCATGAGTGAACCCACAGTCCATGTTCTCCTGTAGTCCCAGGTTGGACAGGCACCTGGGTCATCCAGGTAGAAATGTAGGATGTAGAGGATGTGTTTGATGGTGGTGAGAGCCATGGAGACGCAGAAGGAGAGGGGAGAAGTGAATTGGCTGGCTCAAACGGCACAGCGCCTGCTTGCACTCTGCAAATAGTGTAAATCTATGGAACACACACATGGTCTCTTGCAGCAGAGGGAGGGCTCGAGCGGCTGGAAGGAAGGCCGAGGAGGTCCACTGTAGCTGGAACAAGTGGCCAGTGGTGGCCCCTGAGGCCGAGCTGCCTGGGGAGGATGTCAGAGGCCAGGGGTGATTGACACGTGGTGGCCACGGTGCTGGGAGCTTATGTAAGGCTGCGGCTGGCTTTTGGGGACCATGAACAAAATCTTAAACTCAGGAGAATCCCCTGGCTTCCTGGCCAGTGGACGGAGTGGCAGGAAGTGCCATTTCCCACCTCTTGGTTCTGGGCAGCCAAAGCAACAGCCCAGTGTACACCAGTTCCGGGCCGCTCAACCAGGTGGGCATCAGGGTACCAGGCCTCACGGGCACTCCCGCTACCCAGCCCAGCATTGTTGGGGTTCTGGAGCCCAGGGTCCCCTAGCAGATGAGGCTGGAGTGACTGTCGTCTCTGCACACTGCTGTGGTCAGCTTGGGGAAGCCAACAGCTTCAGGCTTTCGGCAACACCTGGTTTGGCACTTGGCTCAGGCTGTGGTTGCGTGAGGCCACTCCCTTCTCTGGGCTTTAATGTGTCCATCTGTCTAATGGGCATGATAGCCCCACTGAGTGGGAGTCAGAACTGGTTGTGTGGTTTGCAAGCCTCAGGACAAGGTGGAAACCTGGGGCCACTTCAAATGGAATTAAGAATTCCAAGTTGGAAAAGTAGAGCAGGCACAGGGTTCCATGTAGCTGCCCGGGGGACAGAGCAGGAAGGCGGCTGTTCCTGCAGCTCTGGCTTTGCTGCCCTTGACTGCCCTGTACCCTCCAGGCCGCAGTTCAGCTGTCTCAGCTCCGTGCAGCAGTGGGCTGCAGGTCTGTGAGCTGGAGGCTGAGCTGTGGCTCTTGGTTCAGGTCCCACTCCCTTGGGGAAGCCTACAGTAATTTCTTTTCAGCTTGCGGGGTCTCCTGGCACTGACCCCACAGCACCCCAGCTTCGTCTCTGTCACTCTGTACCCTGCTGATGTCCGTCTGTAGCAACTTTGCTTTCCTTCCTTGTACGTTTTTATTGTTTTTGAGGATGCAGTTGACACACGACTCTAGCTGGAAAAAGAATAAGACTATTACAGGATCATTCTAGATCATTCCAGAAAGGCTTTCTTCTTCCCCTCAGTTCTTCATTTGTTAAAACTGGGGCTCACCCAGGTTGACCAGAACTACTACTACCACTAGTTTGGAAGTGGATTCCCCCTTGTGGCTAATTCTACAGCCTGGGTTGCCTCAGCCCTGTCCCCACCGGGAGTGAGGAGTGGGCCAGACCTGCCCCTTGTCACGCATCCCATGTCTCTCTCCCCAGAGTTCCCTGCTCAGCGCTGACATGGCGGAGAGTGCCCTGCCGCCCTCCTCTTCCGCGGCCCCGGCCGCTGAGCCAGAAGTCACGGAGCAGCCGAGGCCTCGCAGCCCCCCTCCCTCCCCTCCGGGCTTGGAGGAGCCCCCAGAGGGAGCTGACCCTGACGTCCCGCACCCAGACCTGGCTCCGGTGGCCTTCTTCTGCCTGCGCCAGACCACCAGCCCCCGGAACTGGTGCATCAAGATGGTCTGCAACCCATATCCTTTGGGGGCTGGGCTCGGTTGGGGGCTGTATGGTGCCAGTGGCCACACAGGTGACAGGAGCTGGCCCCCTGCTGAGAGGCCTTGGTTTCCTGTTCCCACCACTGTTGCTTGGATTCTTTCCATCCAGGTGTGTCAGGTGGTACAGACTGGGTGAGCCTGGGGCGTTCACCCAGCGTGGGGGCTGCTTGCTAGTGGCTCTGAGAGCCAGAGAGTACCAGGTAGAGGTGGCTGCCTATGGCCAGGTATTGTGCTGCCTCGTCTTGTGGGGGACAGTAGAAAGGTGAGCCCAGGCCAGCTGGCTTGGAGACACCCCCAGTTCTGCCTCTGGCTGTGGGGCCTGTGTGACACTGTTGCTGCAGGGAGCTGTTTCCAAGCACAGGGGAGACTGGCCGTGTTCAACCCTTGAATATCACTGTTGAGTTCCCTGGAGGCTTAGAGCTGGGTCCTGACCCAGTCTGCCCTGAGTGGGTGCACCCAGCCCTTCCTCACCACTCCCCTCCCCCAGGCCTCAGGACCTTTTGTCCCGTTCCCTCTCGGCTTGAAGCACTTTCTCTTTCCCTATTCCGACCAGGTCTTGCAGATCTCAGCTGTGGTGTCTCCTTCCCTCATAAGCCCTCTGTGATTCTCTCTCAGGCTGTCTCCTTGTTGGCACATCTGGGTGTGAATTTCAAGATTTGTGAATTATTTAAAAAAGACAAAGTGAAAGGGAGGGAGGAATGGAGATAGAGAGAGGGGGGTCGTCTGTGTGCTGATTTCCTCTCCCCACCCCTCTCGTGCCTGCAACACCTGAGGCTGGCCCAGGCTGAAGCTGAGAGCCAGGGTTTCCATCCAGGTCTCCCGTGCAGGTGGCAGGAACTTAGCACTTGGGCTGGTAACTGCTGCTTGCTTGGCAGGAGCAGAGGCAGGAAGCTAGGCTGGAAGCAGAGCAGAACTCACCCTGGCACTCCCATGTAGGGTGCCAGTGGCGTTCTAGAGAAGGCTGGGTGTGTATGACTGAGCCCTGCATGGGAGAAGGGGCTGGCGGGCAAGGGCAGGGCAGGGAGGTGAAGGGTTTGGGAACAGCTGGGCTGTCTCCAGGGCAGTGCAGAGCTGGCCCAGGGCTCAAAGCAGGGGCGCTGCGGTGGAACTAAGGCTGCTCAGCTGAGCTGGGTGACGGCCACAGCAGCAGCCAGTGGTGGCCGGTGGCCGGTGCTGAGCAGGGGGCCTGGTGCATGGGAGCAGAGTGCTGGGCTCGAGTTTCCTCCTGGGACAGGCAGGAGTGGTGATGATCCAGCCACCAGAGCAGGGATGCTGGTGAGGTGGGGGAGAGGGGGCCGGGAACACTGGCCAGGTTGGGGCTCAGCAGCACCCCAGCTCCAGTGTTGCTGCTGAGCCCCTGCTTGCTGACTCTCAGAAGCCAGGGGGCCCGGAGGGAGGTGGGTCTCAGGCACAGCCAGTGCCCGAATTCCCCCACTCCCTGAGACTCAGTGCCAGGGAACCCCTGCCTGGGGATGGTGGGCAAGGTGGGGAGACTCTAGGGGCCTGCCGTGTGTGACCAGGAGTGTTGAGGCAGGGGCTGGCAGAGGCAGGATGATGGATCAGGTCTGGCTCTGCTCCCCAGGTGCCATGTGGCCCTCAGAGTGGCTGCTGGTCAGGGTGGCTGGTGGTCCTGCTCTGGTCTGGCGGCAGGTGCAGAGCTGGTCCAGGGGTTACTCCTTGATAGACTAGCCGGTCTGAATTCCCATATGCTGCATATGATCTTATGGGGAGTAGATGGCTGCCTGCTTGGCGAAGTCAGGTACCCCAGCAGACCCCTTGGGGCCTGCGGTTGGGCTGGCACAGGAGGGGCTTGAGTACCTGCAGGCTCCTCTCCCCACATCCCAGGCTGCCTGGAGGGCGTGTGGGGGAGGGGAGTTCAGGTCTGAGAGTCAGGTGCTGGCTGTCAGACTGGGAAGGTGAAGGTTGAAGTCTCAGCGATGATCACATGCTGATCTGCCAGAGACTGCAGAGTGAGCCTAGGGTTTGGCGGTTGAACTGGGTTTCTGGGGTCATCGAATGGATGGCTGCAGGGCTGAGGGGGTGCAGCTGAGCTGGGAAGGCAGGAGAAAGGCAGGGGAGGAGATCTTGGCGTCCTTAGGGGTCCTGGGTGGGTGCGGGCAGAGCCTTGTGGAGGAAGTTTGGTGTGTGGGGGGTTGGGGTTTGAGACGGGAGTGTTGCAGGTGCTCTGGGGGTTGAGGTCTGCCTGTTGGCACGGGGTGGGGCAGGTTTGGCATGCTTTTCCCATAGCAGGGCATTCCAATGTCCCTGGTCCCTGGGCAGGTGGTACTGATAATGCTCCCTTCATTGCTGTGGTCCCCTGAGTACGGCCAATGTGTCCAAATCAGGCACAGGACTGGCTTGTGAAGACCTGCAAAGGAGTGGGGGCTCTGGGGGTATCGGGATTGGGTGAGCAGGAGAGTCCTGGCCCCTGACAGCCCATCTCCCCCTCCCTCCCTGCTTCCTTGGTGCCCAGGGGCCCCTGGCCCAGAGCCAGCCGTTTGGGGAAGCTTGGTGCTCCCTGACTCAGCTCCTGCCCAGGCCCTGAGTCATGCCTGAATCACCAGGCGCCCACAAGCTGTGGCGACCCTCACTGGTGTCAGCTCAGCTTCTGCCTGGCCAGGGCCGCTTTCTGAGGTGCTCTGAGCCCCACCTGTGCCACGGGGGTGGTGCTTGCCCGTGCACAGGGTGACATGGCACAGGAGACCAGAAAAGCAGCCACATACGCCGTTCTCGCTGTGCTGGCCTGAGCCTGAGGGGTGACCAGGGTGTGCACGTACAGCTGAGTAAACACTGCTGCCAGCAGATTCAATAAAACCTCCGTGACAGGTCCTTGGATAGAATGTAACACCTCAGGAGCACATTGTTTCCGGGACGATCAGATTTGATATCTGTTACCTGGGTGGATTGGGGTGCACTTTGTCATCGGTGTCCTGGCCATTGAAGACATTGCTAATCAATCACAGCATCCTCCAGTGGGTGGACCCTGGCAGCCCTGACCAATCCATTGGAAGCCTGTCTTTCACCCTTTCTTGGGAGTGTGTCTGGCTGTGTGTCCTCACCCTCAATCTTCTCATCTCTGGGATGGGGAGATGAAAAATACTGTGACGTGTCCAGCACAGAGAAGGGGAGGGACAGTCGGCAGCTGGCACTTTCTGCTCCCATTGCTCTGCCCTTCACCACCTTTAACCCTTAAAGCCACCCCGGCAGGGTGATTCGTTTTACTGGTGGGGTTAGCAAGGTGCAGAGAGATGAACTTTGACCCAGTAGTTGCACAGCTAGGACATGGCTGGAAAGGTTGGAATGAACCCTGCTTTCTGTGGGTCCCCAGGCCCGGCTTTTATCCAGGACACCACTGTCACCCAAGACGGGAAGGGGTGGCTTGATGGTCCCCCGTACTCCTTGCGGCAGCCTCTCCCCTGGCCATCCCTGGAGGCATTGGCAGCCCCTCCCTTCCAGCCTGCCAGCGGCTGAGCTGGGCTCCTGCGGCAGTGGGAAGCAGCCATGCGTGCTGGGGCAGCCAGTGGGCTGTGAAGGCCTCCTTGTTGCTGGGGGGAGCCAGGGTGCCTGCGCCAGTCTGGCTGGGAACCAGGAGCTGCCAACCGCCCCACGACCTTGGGCCGATCATCCCCACTGGGTGCCCTCGGTCTCCCTGTCTGCAGGATGGGGGAGCAGGCAGTGAGGGACTTCCTGGGTGGCCAGGCCCCTGCTGGCCTGCTTGGGGTGGGCTCCACACTCAGTGCACCTGTGGCTGCTGTGGCCCTGGATTTCACCCATCCCCTGCCTTGTCCCTCGGCTTCTGCTTCCTCGCTGGGCCCAGCGGTACCACAGAGACACTGGGGGTCAGAGGAGAGTGCTTAGGGTGGGTGTTGGGTGACCAATAGGTGTCAGGAGGCAGCTGTGTGAATGCTGGGGCTGATGGATGCTGCCTGGGCAGCAGGGCAGCTGGACCCATGGTCCTAGTCATGGTCTGAGAGACCCAGTGTGGGTCTGTGACATCCCTAGAAGTATGCAGACTGGCAGGGGGTGGGTGGGTGACAGCTGTGGGGATGTGGTGTGGCAGTAATGGGGTCACCTGCAGCCCCTTCCCTGGTCATTTAGTCCTGGTCATTTAGTCCTCTGGGCAGGCTGCCTTGGTGCTGGCGCTGCAGAATCAAGGCCTCTAGGACCCTCGGGGGGCTCCTCCTCGATCTGACCAGCCACCCCTCTGTCAATCTTTTCCTGCCCTGCACCTGCACTGAGGGCTGGTTGTTTATGGCTGGCAAGGCTTCTCCCACAGGCTGTGAGGGAAGGGGGTCCTTGGGAGGGGACAGGTCCCCTCCTCCTCCAGCCTCATCCTGATGGACTGTCCAGACAGGCAGCAGGCATCGCTGGAAGCAGCCGCGTGTGTGGGAAATTGTCCGCTCCCCTCCATCTGGTATGGAAAGGTTGTTTTTCTCAGAAATAAAAGTTAGCACGGACCACCATCTCCCGAGGATGATGGCCAAAGTGAGTTCTGTGCTCTAGGGGAGGCTCTCCAGGCTGGGAGGTGGGGCTGACCCCCAGGGCATCCTCAGGGGCTTTGGTTGGGGCTTCCTGTGGGAAAGGCAGGGCAGCTGGGAGATGTCTCCTCTGACCCAGCCTGGGCATGTTGGTGAAGCCCACCAGGAGGAGGGGTTGTCTGACCTGGGGCTTGCTGCATGAATAGGAGTTTTCTGGGGCAGTTACAAAAGGCCGTCCTGGGCAAGGGTGCTGAGAGCAATCGGGGGTTTAGTGTGTCTGAGAATCGCTGCTGCCACTGCTCTTGACAGGTCATTGACTGACTCAGTGCCCACGTGGGGAGGCTCAGCAGCTCTGTGTGGGGCAGTGTTCTGACCCCTGGTGATGTAAACCCTGGGCTATGCTGCCAGCTTGGGTAGGGTCATAGCTCAGCAGATCTGGAAGCTCAGAGCTGACCCCGGCTGGCCAACTGAGTCCCCAGTGTGAATTCAGCAGAGTGA